CAGGGGAGGGGACACTAGCGTGGAGAAAGGTGACTTTACCAGGCTCCATGTGTGTGGTTTTTGTTTTTTTGGGCCTTAAAAACAGTCAGCTGGGCTTCTGGGGCTTCCACGGCAGGCATGGGGAGTGGTGGCTGTGGCAAGGGCTGCCCCAGGACTGGCAGGGGCTAGGGTGAGGTCCCTTACAGACAGCGCAGCCCCAGCGGACTGAGGGCCTGTCCCCTCCCTCAGACAACCACAGATATGTCCCAGTCTGACTGACCTAAGCACTCTCTGGGAGGCCTAGGCATGAGCGCCGCTCCACCGGCCCAGTGCAGCCCAGGCCCCTGCACCCTTTCAAAGCCTGCCCGCCCTGTGATGCCCTGGGAGCAAAGTGCAGCCTCAGCACTCTCTCTGCTCTGCTGCTGGCCGTTGTGTTTCTGCCTCGTCCATCAGTCCATCACCTGGTGGGGGGTGGGGCAGGGTGGGGAGGAGGAGAGCCAGGGGACAGCTGTGCAGGCGTGCTCCCGGATCTGCCTGCCCCCGTGCCTTCTGTACCCTGATGGCTGCAGACACCCTCTTTCCTGTCCCCTCTTCCTCCTTTGCTCTCACTGATCGGCCCTCCCTCCCGGCTGTCTGGGGCTTCCTCTGCCTGGTCTTATGGTGAATGAGAAGCTGAGCTAGACAAGGCCCCCAGAGCTTATGCAGGAGGCCGCAAAGCAGGAACTCACCCCTTTCCTGGCATCCCCACCAGCCTGCTAAGGGGCTGCCTGCTCCTTCTCACTCCACGTGCCTCTCAAATGGGGCGGAGCTCCCATGTTCAGTTCCTAAGAACGGGGGACCCAGAAAGATACTGTGCACCGCTGCTCAGGCAACATTCTTCCCAGTAGCCAGACACAGAGACAACCAGCGTGCATCCCTGGACACAGGGAGAAACCTAGCCTGGTAAACACACACGTATGGCTGTGACACCAGGGCTTCCCTCGTCTTTTTGACACCTGTTACAGCCTGGTGAACCGTATCATGGAATGCTAGGAGACACAAGCTGGTCACAGCAGGACAAATACTGTAGGAGTCTCTGTAGAAAGTATCCGGAAGGGAAAGTATCCAGACCTCAAAGAGACAGAGGTGGGGCAGTGGGTACCGGGGTCGGGAGTGGGGTAATAGCAGAGTTTCCGGCGGGATGCTGATGAAGGTCGTCACTGTAATGCAGGTCACATAGACTTGTGAATGTCCTTAAGTACTGACCTGTGTGCTTTCCAATGGCTAAAACGGAGGTTTCGTGTTATGTGTATTTTATAGTGGAACAACAAAAATGGAGTCGGGGTGGGGTCCTGAACACTTGCTTTTGGCTCAGAGGTTAAATCACGGCTTAGATGCCTGCATCTTGTATCAAGAGCCTGGTTTGAGTCTCAGATCCACTTCCAATCCAGTTTCCTGCCATTGTGCATCCTGGGAGGCAGCAGATGATGCTCAAGTACTTGGGTCCCTACCACCCACATGCGAGACCTGGTTGGAGTTCTGGGTTCCTGACTTTGGCCTGGCCCAGCATGGGCTATTTTGGGCATTTGAGAAGTGAGCCAGTGTATAGAAGATCTCTCAGTCTTCCTCCCTCCCTCCCTTCCCCCCTTCCTTCCTTCCTTCCTTCCTTTCTTCCTTCCTTTCTCTCTCTCTCTCTCTCTCTCTCTCTCTCTCTCTCTCTTTTTCTCTCTCCCTTTCAAGTAAAAGTGAAAATATATTAAAATTTTAAGATTTATTTATTTATTTAGAGGTAGAGTGACAGAGAGATTGTGTATCTGCTGCTTCACTCCCCAGATGACCACAACAGCCAGGTCTGGGCCAGGCCAAAGCTAGAAAGAAGCCAGGCACTCCATCCAGGTCTTCTATATATGTGGCAAGGGCCTGAGCACTTGGGCCATCTTCCCCAGGCTTCCCAGCTCATTAGCAGGGAGCTGGATCAGAAGCAGAGTAGCTGGGACTTGAACCAGACACTGAGATGTCCGAAGTGGTGACTTAACCACTGAAGCAAATTCCTGCCCTAAATTTATCTATTTTTTAAGATTTTATTTATTTATTTGAGAGTAAGAGTTACAAAGAGAGGGAGAGACAAAGAGAGAGATCTTCCATCCACTGGTTCACTCCCCAAATGGCCGCAATGGCCTGGAAGCTGGGCTGGATCCTGGAAGCCAAGGAGGCAAGGAGGCTTCCCTCCAGGTCCTTCCGGTGGTGGGTTGCACAGGGGCTCTCAAAGCAACTTAAAGCCATTCTTTCCACTTGGCTTTCCCAAGGGTGCATTTAGGCGGGGGAGCGCTGGGATCTCGGAAAAGCACGACACGCCAAGGGAACACAAAACTGGTGCCCATATGGGATGCTGGTGCCGCAGGTGGAGGCTTGACCTATGCCACAACCCTGCCTTCCTAAATTTATGTTTTAATTCCATTTTCTATTATCTTTTTAACTGCCTTGTGGTTGCCTGTTGCCCCTGTCTTGCAGGAACTGAAATCCTTGGGGCAGAGTGGAAAGGTGGGCCAGGGAGGTGCTTTGGGTCTACTCAGGCTGTAGGCAGCTGGGCTCCACCCCCAATCCCTGCTGAGGGACAGCTGGGATGCGCCTCAGAACTGCCACCCGGAGACCAAAGGGGAGCGTTTCCCTGCTGAGGCTGCCTCACGGCATCACCACCTCACGCTCCAGGAGGCAGGGCCATGTGGCTCCTGCGGGCGCCTCTTGGCTGTCTGAGGAGCCCTGGGTAGCAGGCTTTGGGGCAGCCAGAGTAAGGTGCTCTGGGGTCTCACTGTGAGGATCTGATCTGTCAGTAAGGACCAGAGCAAGAGGGTGATCGAGAGGACGTGAGGACACAAGGGGTGTCCAAGACAAGTGACCCACGGAGGTGTCCTGTTTTGCCCTGTGGGCACCAAAACGTGGGGGTTGCTCTTGTGACTGTTTGTTTCCTGTGGGCCAGTGTGGACATGGGATGGCTGCTGGTGGCCTGGGAGACTCACCCATGCCTGGGAGAGCCCAGCAGAGCAGCTAGAGGGGTCTGCCCCAGGCAGAGCCCAGCACTTGACCCTCCTGGAAGCGGCTTCTGTAGAGTTCCTGCAAAGCCTGGTCCTCTGACTGTGCATGTCCAGTGTGCCAGGAAGCCTCTGATAAGATCTGAAGTCTTCAGGGAATAATAGGCACAGCCTTGGCCTCTGCTGCCCCGGCAGGTGGCTCCTGTTCAGCCCTCTGTGGACTTGAACCTTACTGCTCCCATACAGCTGAGGCCACCTGACCAGGGCCAGGCCCTGAGCCTGCAGGTGCCCAGCCCATCAGACCGTGCACCCAGCCGGGGAGTGCGAAGCGCACACACAGCCCTTGAAGGAGTCATGGCCCACTGGCAGGGCAGCGGTGACGTCGGAGTACTGGGAGGTGTCCTGCGGACCTGAGTAGCAAGCGGCCAGGAGGGGAGGTGGGAAGAGGCGGGTGGAGGGGGCCGTGTAGGCAGAGTCACGCAGACCTGGAACTCTGCTGTGTGGACCTGGGCAAGTTACTGAATCCCTCTGAACCTCCCCTGTGTCTTCTATGTAGTGTGATTACACCAGTTCATACACAGGATTGTTGCGAGGGTGAAGTGTGCCCAGTGTGGCTAGCAGAGGTTACCGTATCTGTACGTGGAGCCACGCTGGGGGAATACTCTGCCTCCTAGCCCACCACTAAATCAGAGACTTGCACTAACGGCAGAAGGCCTCTCCAGCCCTGTTCTAGGCTTCTGTGAGTGTCAGCACCTCTGGGCTTGGGGGGTGGAAGGAAGGGGAGGGACATAGCATGAACGGAAACACAGGGGCAGGAGAGAGCATCAGGTGTTAGTTTTCCTTCGCTGCGTGCAGATGGCTCAGACCCAGCGGCTTAGGACGATGCTGTTCTTTATCTCCCAGCGCTAGCTGGAACCTGGGTGTGGACCAGGCTGCGGTCTCGTCTGGGGCTCCCAGGGGCTCTGGAGCAAACAGTCTGCTCCCATGCTCACGGGGTCCTAGGAGAATTTATTCCCTGCTGGTTGTAGGACTGGGGTGACCGTGTCCTTGCCCGCTGCTGACTGGCACTTGCCTTCAACCACAGGTGCCTGCCCACATGCCCTGCCCGCGCCCCTCCTCCCTCAAGCCAGCCATAGTGCACGGAGCCTTTCTCGTGCTTTGGATTTCTGCGTCTTCCTCTGTCTTGGACCTCTAGTCCCAGATGCTCAGGGCTCACGTGCTTGGGTCAGGCCCTCTTGAAGAGTCTCCCTATCTTAAGGTCAATGATTTGGAATTTAATTATACCAGCAAAATCCCTTCCCAGGGGTATGTGTTTGATTGACTGGTAGAAGGTGTACATCTGGGACCATCTTACAGTTCTGCCTCCTACATATGACATGGGCTGGAGAAAGAGGGCAGAATGGCCAGGGGCTGGAGCAGGCATGCCATAGGCCTTGACAGCTGTTGGAGCAGGAGAGGTGAGATGGATGTTGATGGTGGGAGGGATCTAAGACTGCCGTAGGCCTTGAGTGGCAGGTGGAAAAAGAGGCATTGGACAGCCCCTACCCCTAGCCTTGACTGTGTCCAGCACCATTAGAATGCATTGATCCCAACTCAACTGCCCTGGCCTTCAGGTCTGGGTTCCTTTGTCCTGCTGAGGGTACCACCCAAGCCTGAAGCCTCCAGTCCTGTGGCTCCTCCCTTTAGCACAGATGAGCAGACTCACAAGCCCCTCAGTGGATGGCCACTGAGCTTGAGAGCCCAGAGCAAGCCCCTGCAGTACCTCCGACCTCCCTTGTAGCCGGCCTGGCGTCCAAGACAGGCTGGCAGAGGAGGCCAGTTGAGGGTGTGTGTCCACCGGGCAGTCCCATCGGCTGGTCCGGTAGGGCCCCACTGACCTTGCAGGGCTGTGGAGAGGCGAAGATACCAGGAGGGGTGAGAAGGCTCTCCCGGGGCAGAGAGCGTGTCCCAAACCAGGCGCCGGCCTTGCCTCGGGCAGCGTCTCATGGCGCCTGTCTTTCCTCTCTCCCACAGCCCCGCGCCAGGCTCCGGAGCTGGGGGCATGGAGAACTCCTCGGCAGCGTCGGCCTCCTCCGGGGCTGGGAGCAGCCGCTCCCAGGAGATCGAGGAGCTGGAGCGCTTCATTGACAGCTACGTGCTGGAGTACCAGGTGCAGGGGCTGCTGGCCCACAAGGCGGAGGGCGACGGCGAGAGCCAGAAGACACAGTCCCCCGTCTCCCAGGTGAGTGCGGGCTTCTCACGATGACCGAGAGGTTTCTATCAGAGGATGGAGCTGAGGGTCCGGGGTTGACTCAGGAAGAGCAGGAGAGGGGTTGGAGACAAGGGGTGTAATACGGGGGTGCTTCAGCAAGTTCACGGAAAAGGGGAATTAAAATAAGTTTATTTTTGGTGCAAAATATATTTTAAAGGCATGTAGTTTTTCCATAATATGTGCTTCCATAAACCTTTTGAAAATCCATCATATGCATGGATTTTTAAAATTGTTCTATCACAATAAACTTAACTTTCAATTTTTTTTTTTTCCCCACAAACCACAGTCTCCTTGTGTAACTGCTCTGAGGAGTTCAGCTGTGGGAGGAGAGAGACGTGGTGAGGCTTGGGGCCACGAGGTCAAAACAGGAGCATTTTCAACCTGGTTGGGGGTAGCTGGGGGTGGCCCCGCCAGTGACTGGAGCAGTGGCCTGGTGTCTGGTCCCAGCTGCTCATCCATGGTCTGTTACTAAGCATCTAAAATGACACCTGCAACACAGCTGTGGCATTTTCTCCAGGGAGGTGCAGGTGCAGAGCTGGGGAGGTGACTTTAGCTGGGAGCAGTGGAAGGAGGCAGAGAGGGGGGCGATGATGGCAATGGAGCCAGGACACTGAGCCAGGCGAGGAGGGGAGTGGTAGGGTCGGCGGTTCGGTGATCAGGATTCTTCTTGGTGAGACGAAGACTCGCTGGAGTCCCGGGACCAGCAGCAGTGAGCCAGACAGCTAGGAGGGACGTCCCTGAGTGGGGCGGAGGAAATGCGGTAATTGGTGGCGAAAGGCAGTGTGCGCCTGCGCGCGCGGGGAGGCGGGAGACAGCAGCAGGAGGGGCTGTGGACGCAGAGCAGGGCGCAGGAGCCATCTTTGTGGATCTCAAGAAAGAACAAAAGGGTGTTGGCGGGGGTGGCTGCCATCCAGGAGGAAAGCCCTCGAGGAAGGCAAGGAGAGAAATGGCAGGTGGCTCTGCAAATGACTACACGGAGGGTGGCGGGGTCTTGTCTGGTGTGTTAATTTATTCATGTCACTTCCTTTGGTGATTTACACCATCCTTATTGTACGGTTAACAGTCTCATGACCTGGAGTGGAAGGGGGAGGTGGTGGTGGTGCAGGGGGCGTGGTTGGACCATGTCCAAGGGAAATTAGCCTCTGTGGGTTGCGTAGGATGGGAGGGCAGGAAGTAAAGGCACCAGCTCTTGGCCCCTGGAAGCCTCCTAGTGCTGACCTCCATGTGGTACCCCCGGCTGTGCTGCCTGTCTCCCTGCTGTGGAATCCTGGGCACACTTGGAAGCTTCCTGTAGCTGGAATAGGCCCTCGCAGTGGGAGGGTCCAAGGAAGCTGTGAAGCCTGACCCCAGAGGAGGGCGGTGCTGAGACAGTTGTGGATGGGGCCCCTCCCATTGGCTCAGATGGGCTCCTGGGGACTGCGGAGCCGTCCCAGTGCAGAGCAGGGCGCTGGGACTGCCCAGCCCTCACTCTCCACCTTGCCCATCTGGCTCCTGCTCCCAGGACTCCTGGGCCTGACTCACGCTTGGAGGCCCGAATCTGGGTGGTGGGCGAGGTAGGAGTCTGGAGGGGTGTGAAATCAGTGGTGGTTGTGCAGAACAAGGCCACTCTTGGCATTTAGACACATTCTTTAGACATCTGCCCTTGGAAGGGCACAAACACCTGGCGGGATTCCTGGCAGGATTACGTGGCATGCCTGCACGCTCTTGGCACGGGGCACAGCCCCTGCCCCCCCCCCACACCAACTCACAGCCATACCTGTGGGGCCAGCTACCCAGGAAGGACAGCTGTGGCCCACTGAAGAAGGCAGGGGCCTGATGTGTCTCCCTAAGACGAATCTTTATAGATACATATCCCATTGACACAGCCTGTGGGAAGTGTGTCTGCTAAAGCACTTTTGCTTGTTTTTCTTGAATCTGATGACTGTTTTAAATGGGAGCCAAGAGAAACCACCGAGAACGTCCCGGGCTGCCCGTCTGTTTCCGGGAGCGGAAGACTGTGGAGAATCTTGGAAGCCTTGAGAACGTAAGGGAATGCAGAAGAATGTTGCCCTGCAGCTGGCGCAGCTGCCTTTTGGGATCCAGGAGATGACAGTGGACCCTCAGGAAGAGCACCTCATGCTGCTAGTCCAGCTCTGTTCCCCCCACCCCAACAACAGCTAGGGAGAAAGGGTGCGTGGATGACTGGAGAGACAGACAGACAGACAGACAGAACTTCCTTTCTTAGATGAGTTCCCAAGAGAATGTATGTTTTGAATTTCCCAGTACTTCCTAAATCCCTTATTTAAAATTTTTTTTTCAAAATTTGTTTATTTATTTGAAAGCCAGAGTTATAGAGAGAGAGAGAAGGGAAGAAACAGAGAGAGAGAGAGAGAGAGAGAGGGAGAGAGATATCTTCCACCTGTTGGTTTATTACCTAGATGGCTGCAACAGCCAGGAGCCAAAGTCATGAGCCAGGAGCTTCATCCAGTTCTCCCTTGTAGGTGGTAGGGGCCCAAACACTTACACCATCCTCTGCTGCTTTTCCCAAGGCCATTAGCAGAGTGCCACAATGGCCGGAGCTGCGCTGATCTGAAGCCAGGAGCCAGGAGCTTCTTCCCAGTCTCCCATGCGGGTGCGGGAGCCCAAAGACTTGTGCCATCTTCTACTGTTTTCCCAGGCCAGGGCAGAGAGCTGGATCAGAAGTGGAGCAGATGGGACTCGAACCGGCATGCATATGGGATGCTAGCTCTGCAGGTGGCGGCTTTACCCACTACGCCACAGTGTGAACACTGGCATTTTTATAAGTCCTTGTATGACCCTGATGCCCTGCTGGGTTGACAACTACAGTTGTTGAAGAGTGGATAGATGCATTTATTTAAGACATATTTTCCAATACATTCTTTTTTTTTTTTTTTTTTGGACAGGCAGAGTGGACAGTGAGAGAGAGATACAGAGAGAAAGGTCTTCCTTTGCCATTGGTTCACCCTCCAATGGCCGCCGCATCTGGCGCGCTGCGGCGGGCGCACCACGCTGATCCGAAGCCAGGAGCCAGGTGCTTCTCCTGGTCTCCCATGGGGTGCAGGGCCCATGCACTTGGGCCATCCTCCACTGCACTCCCTGGCCACAGCAGAGAGCTGGCCTGGAAGAGGGGCAACCGGGACAGAATCTGGTGCCGCGACCGGGACTAGAACCCGGTGTGCCGGCGCCGCAAGGCAGAGGATTAGCCTATTGAGCCAGGGCGCCGGCCTTGCAATACATTCTTAACAGGTCCAACTAAGACTCACTGAGGCTGACGATAGCTTCCTGTCGTCCTTTCAGTTGGTGGCAAGTACTTGGAGTCCTAGGTTTTGTCTCAGATGCAAAGTGATGTTTCAGAGAGAGAGAGCGTGGAGATGGGCCTGGTGTCTCCTTCCTTCCTGTCTCTTCCCCGATGTTTCTTCTTTCATTCTGCCTACCCCAACCACCCCCTCTTCGGTCCTGTTTATCTCATTACTGCATTTCCTCCCACTCTTAAATCCATTTTCCCTGCATCTTTGCTCGCAGGATGAGGCGCCCCATGGTGGGTTTAACAGAAGGAATGCGTTCACAGGAGGACCCTGGGGTGCTTGAGCGTGAAGGATTCGTTCTGTGTGAGCACATTTGAGTCACACAAGCACTATACACAGACTTTGCGTGGTGCACAGAATCCAGACAGTCACAGTGAAATCCCCCTTAGCCAGCACCTCATGCTGTTGCCTTGACTCAACCTCCCATGAGATTGGACAGTTGACTTCCTCATCTTTGTAATGCATTAACTGGCATATAAACGCCTTACAGAAATAGAGTATTTGAAAGTCATGCATCAGAACCAGTGGAAATGTTCAGTAGCTCAACTGTATGTCCTAGGGAAACTTCCAGGCTTATGGCTGCGGTGCTGCCTTTCCGGGCTGTACAGTGGTGTATAGTATGGATTTATTTAGCTATTCGTTTAATGATGGACACTTAGGTTTCTTCCAGAGGTATACACAGACACCTGGCCCTGTGTGTTTTTGCGCCCTGGGCAGCATCCTGTCTCTCCAACAGGCCAGTCTTCTCTGGAGGATCACTGTGGATCTGCAGCTTGTCCTGGGTCCCACTCCCCTTCCAGCCCCCCTGTCCTGGTCAGCAAGCGCATGTGGCCAGGATAAGTAAACAGTGAATGCGGGTGAGCACGCCGCACCTCCTGCACAAACCCAAGTGCTTCTTTGCTGAGAACTGGAATGAATGTGGAAAACTCTCACCAGATTGCTGTCCAGAATGGCTGGTCCATTCTGTGTAGGCTACAATTGTATTTTACTTTTAAAGCAACAGTTGGAAAAACATCATCATTTTAGGACAACAACTAATGTAATTTTTGTGCTTTTTAAAATTCTGTGTTACCTTTTACAAAGCTGTCCTTCTAGCACGCATGTGAGTTTTGAGTTGCTTGTTTCCCGTGATCTCCCAGACATTGTTTGGTGGTGGATTTTAGCTTCTTTCTGTGCAGGTGCTGTTGGCCGTGAAGTGAAATACAACTAGCGCTCACTTGTACTCGTTCAGCCGCAGGCTCTGAGGGCAGAGTCATGAACAGAACCAGCTGAGATCCCTGTCCCCATGGGGCTTACTTGTGGCGGGGAAGGCAGGAAACAGGAAGTTAGCAGGTGATTGATACCTGAGAGAGGTGCAAGGGCCCGAAGGCTCGCTCAGAAGGGGCCTTTGGAGTGAAGACTTGAAAAAGGTGAGAAAGTGAGGCTGCTTAAAGCTGTCTGCTGGGGGCTTGCCCCGGGTGGAAGCCAGTGAAGAGCCAATGTCAGAGCCTCCCAGGCCTGTCTCAGTCTTGGCCTTTTCCTGAGAGATGTGGGACTGTGTGTGTGTGTGTGTGTGTGTGTGGCAGGACTGGTGAAGGGGGATGATCTTCCTGCAGCATGGATGGCAGTCCATGGTGAGAGGCCACAGCTGGGATGTGGCTGGGGAGTGAGCAAGACAGGAAGCAG